TGCTTTGCAACGGACAGGACGTTGAAGAAAGAGTCCAAGAATATATTTCAAACCCTAATCCAAACATAATATGTTAACAATTGTTAACACGTCAACTTCATTAAATTTTAAGAAGTCACTATCTCCAAACAGGCTAGTTGCAAAGATCCAAAGTTTGACGATTCGAATGGTTTCTGCTTTTTGAATTTTGTCTGGATTTTGCACTAACTATCCAAATAATAAAACTGTCTTCCCGGATTTTGTATACCTTTTTTTACTGTAGTTATTATTTTTTTCTTTCAACCAAATTATTACCAATTAACTGTCATGTCATGTTTTATAAATATCTATTTTTTTTTTCAATTTAGAATATTTATTTACTGATAGTGGAAATTTCTCACGCACGGGCAGTAGCCTATGTGAGAGGGATTTCATATTTAATGACTATGTCAGTATATTATTACATAACTGTAATAAAATGCATGGCATGAAAGTGTAAGCAAAAGTTAAGTGATAGACAAGAAGAAACCCACTGTGTGCATGAACTGCTTCAATGTAAATGGTGTAAACTGTATTGAAGCATGTAAATAAAAAAAATAAAAAAATAAATAAAAACTATGGCATAATTATAAAATTTGTACTGACAAGTATTGTAACATAGTATTTTACTTACTGAAATAGGTAATTATTTTGATTATATTTGATAAACTAGCTTCATGTGAAGTTTTATTTGGATCTTTTGAGTGGTTCCCGTGCGATTAAGTAGTATACAAACACACATCCACCATCTTATATTTACATATTTAGATAATAAATTTAAAAATAAAGAAAAGATAAGTTAATTGATTATATTGGCTCTTAAAAAATGGTAAAAGTTCGTTACCACCCATAACTTGAGTCAATGCTAGCAGCTGGGAGCTATAGATGCTAAAACAGCTCTTTAGGCGAATATTGGGCTCTTCCAGGTGGTGCATATTACTATAACAAGAATAGGATTTGTTTATAAGCCATTAACACCGATTTGAACAAAACATTGTAAAATCCTTTATCAAACAATGGGTCGCTAGTGGCACTCACGCTACTACCAGGGTCGCTTCTGGCACGATTTTTGCTGGGTCGCTTCTGGCACGGTCGCTTCCGGCACGTAATCGCGAGAACTGTACAATCTACGCAAAGCTACAACCTCCACCGTTAGGGGTTAGAGAGCAAACCCTAACTCTAAAAAGGGATAACTTAATCAAATCTCTATTTAAACATTACGTTAAAAAAAATATATTAAGTAGTAAGCCCGTGCGGTCCAATGCGCCGCAAGTAAAAAGGTTTTAACTATCTTAAGTTTTAATACCACAGTCTAATATGGTTTTTATTCTGTAATAGTACTTTAAAAACAGACACAACAATCATTGACCACCTTTTAATTCATGGAAAATTGGTCTATAATGCTACCTTAGACCCCGTCACGTAAAAGAATCCCTTTGTAAATTTGGACACAAACCTACCGTTTATTTTAATGAACCTTTTTATTATAAGTTTTTTAAAGTGTAAGTTGGTTGCCAATTAGGAAATATTAGACCTACAACATTAACTATACATAGCTATACATAGTACCAAAGATTACATATGCTACGCAAAAAGCATATTTTGCGTAGCATATGTAATCTTTGATAGTACTTATCAAAGCTAACTCACATTAATAAAATATTATGCAATAACCTATACCCAAGAAATCAAAATAGTGTTTTCAAAGCTTAAAGTCGTGGGATCAAGTCGAATTTTAGCTTGTTAAACTCACAACTTTATTGTCAATTCAAATAATTACAATTAAAACAAAAAAATTTAAAAATTTTCATTTTCATATTTGTTATGGCCGCAAGCCAGTGGTGAGTCACCTGCCGGGCGGCCGAGGGATGGGGCAGGTATTGAGCAGCCGCTGGTGAGTGCGCGTGCGTGGGCGAAGGGTCGCCTAATCCGCTGGAGTCCTTCGAGCTTCTGCCAGACTATAGATCCCTTATCGACCATATTTATCTTAGAGGAAACAACTTGAGGCCAAAGTCTGTTGTCACTAAACTGAAAATATCTGATCATTATCCTTGTTTGGTGAATGTACAACCGAGAGAGAGAATGGGTAGTCATAATATTGATTTATTGCAAAACTTGAGATTGAATGCTAAATTAGTTGACCAAGGCATTAAAAATATAGACTGGATACCAATTAAAAATGTACAACCTTTTTTGTCTGATGCAGTTTACCAGGCCTTATGTAATACTTTCAACTTCATATATAATAAAGCTAAAATAGTGCAGAATGTAAGGCACAAACATCCTAGAAAAGCTTGGTTGAGTTGGGACATACTAAATAAAATAAAAAGAAGGGATAGGTTATTTAAACAAATGAAAAAAAATCCACAGAATATTTATTTAGCAACCGAGTATAGACAGTTGAGGAATAATATTAATAAAGATATTTTGAAAGCCAAAATAAAATACTATAGGGATATTTTTGAGGAAAATAAAAACAATATAAAGAGGACATGGGAGGAAATAAATTAAGTGATGGGTAGGAATAAAAAACAAAATGTAGATGAATTAATAAATAAATATATGGTTGGTAAAGTCGGAACATTAAAACAAATATGTGATCAGTTTGCTGATACTTTTACATTAGAAATAAATAGCATAGTTCATAAATGTGATATGAAACTAATGGGATTGGACAGTGATGAGGTTAAATTAGGAGATATTAAGAGTTTGTACATCCCCAAAGCCAATAGAAAAGATATTGAAGATATTATTGTAAAATTAAAGAAAAATAGCCCCGGTATAGATGGAATAAGAGTATGTGATTTAAAAAAGTGTAATTTAGAAGCCGCTGAAGTGCTGGTTAATATAATAAATGCATCACTTGATGAAGGCAGAATGCCGACTCTGCTAAAAACTGCTATTATAAGACCTGTTTATAAATCAGGTTGCCACAATTCATACCAGAACTATCGCCCAATATCTATTCTTTCTTCAATAGATAAAATAATGGAAAGGTACATTGCACACCATTTAAATAAATACTTAGCAGAAAATGATGTTATAAATAAAAGTCAGTATGGTTTCCAGAAAAACAAAAGTACAGAGTTATTGCTAAAAGATTTTTCTAACAATATTAACAAAGAATTAGGGCAGGGCAATCAAGTAATAGTAACTTTTATAGACTTTACTAAAGCTTTTGATACACTGCAGTTTGATAAAATATTGACAGCACTCAAGGACATAGGAATTTCTGGCAGGTTTTTAGAATGGTTTAGAGACTATCTGAAAAACAGAAAAATTATTGTAAAAGTGCATAGTACATTTAGTGAAGAGGCAGAACTTTTTTCTGGGGTACCTCAAGGAAGTATTTTGGGCCCAATCTTATATATAATATATGCAAATACACTCCCAAAATATATAAAAGAAGCCACGGTTTTTATGTACGCTGATGACACTGCAATTGTCGTATCAAACAAAAATATAATAGAGGCAGAAAAAAATATGCAGAATGCTGTTAACAACCTTTTAGAATGGTGTCATGATTATGGATTGGTAATAAATGACAAAAAGTCCAAGGTCATGCATGTGCATTCACCTGCATTTAAATGTTCTAATGTAAGCATTACTTACCATAATTTTGATTGTTTACATAATCATACTTACTCACTTATCCCAAAAAGTTGTCAATGTAAGAGTTTAGAGAATGTGCATGATTTTAAATATTTAGAGGTTCATGTTGACCACAATTTTAAATGGGATATACATGTTAATTATGTTTGTAAAAAAATCAGATCATGTGTTTGCAAAATTTTTTATTTAAAAAGTGTCCTGCCATTTAATGTGCTATTGGTGATTTACCAGTCATTGTGTGAATCAATATTAAGATATGGTGTGAGAGCATGGGGCAATGTTTCAAAGACTTCTCTGAGGAAAATTGAGCATCTGCAGGAGCAAGCGCTCAAATGTATTGTTCCAGTGCACATTAAGCAGTTACCAATTATAAAGATTTTTCATTTTGTTAGACTGCTACCTGTTAGTAAGTTATATATTTTTTTGATATCCACTGATCATTTATTTGATGACAGCTTGAAAATAGTCAATAATCACCCATATGATGTTAGAAGGAATTATTATTTTGTACCAAAGCACAGGAATAAGTATGGAAGTAGAACACTTGAAGTTTTTGTTCCCAAATGTTTTAATAACCTCACAAATCATAGGGTTTTTGCAAATAGTTATAGCATGTTTAAACATTATTTAAAGGAACTTGTTTGGAATGATTTGTTACAATTTTAATTTATTACAATTATGCATTTAATTTATTTACATTTTTAGTTGAAGTTAAAGTAATATATTATTGTTATTTATTCCAATAGTTTATTTGTTATTGTTACTGTTGAATTTTTACAGATATTTGTGTCTTTGTTGTCTTTTTTTTTTTGTTATTAATTACTCAAGAGACAATTAAGAACTCATAAAACTGCATGCTACTGATTCAAACTGACAAAACTGTATGGTAAATAAGAAACAATATTTTTAGTGCAGACAAACCATTTGTGGTTTTTGCACTTTTGTATCCTATGTATTGGCAATTATTGTGTAAATAAATTTCTTGATTGATTGATTGACCCCCCGCGTTGTTTGTCTACAAGGGCACTGACCTCTCACGGCCGCACGCAACCCTCACTGATCACGTGAAATAAATAACCCGTATTTGAGATGCTTCCGCATAATTGGGAAAGTTAGTTGATAATTCTAACTAGTTAGAAGTTATTAGTTAGTCCCGTAAAAAGTAACTGATAGAAGTTATAAGTTAGTTAATTTAAAAACGAACGAATAAAATAGAAGTTAGCCAAAAAAACTAATTAATAGTGTTATTCGATAGAATTTCTATTCGTTATTCCCAAGTATGGACACCTTGATATAATACTAACACTTTAACCTTAAAATAGTTTAGAATAATTTAGGATAACAATTCAAGGATAGAGAGAAAATCTTACCTCTTCCGTGAGGGTCGTCGTTGATGGAGTGTAGCCTACAACGTTCTACAGGGACACTAACAAAGTCATCCTGCTCATACACAGGCAGCGCCCTCACATACAAGCCATTCCTGAAGTCGTTGACATGGAACTGAATTAGCAAAGACTTGTTCATATCAATGAACACTTTGCTTAACAGCATCGAGTACTGCACAAAACAAATAATAGTTAATTTTAGAAGTTTACATTTTTTTAACTCTCAACAGCTCAATTGTTTCGACATTGATCAAGGTGTGTCATGAATGGTTTGATATCCAAACTGACATACAGTAGACTCTCTCTTATCCGGACTCCTTGGGACCGAGGCCAGTACGGATAAGGGTTTTTTCGGTTAAACCGACATTTCCAAAATTTCGTTAAAACGGAGCATTTGATGTGGTATTCGACTTACATTTAGGATGGCATTGTATTTAGACACGTGATCACTGGTCTCAAATCTTTCCCACGAGAACAGTCCTTTCAGTACCGCCCACTTCCTGCCGATCTAGTCCGGTTAAACCAATGTGCTGATAAAAATTGTCCGGTTAAAGAGATGTAATTTCCGCTGAGTGTAGTCCGGTTAAACCGGTGTCCGGTTACAAGGTGTCCAGATAAAAGGGAGCCTACTGTAAACAGATCACCACTTCATATGCTAAAGACATTATATAGCAACTAGTGCACCTGTTGCTCGAATTCGAGCAATTGCAAAGTATTACAGGTGTTATTTCAAAACTAATAACAGTCATAATTTCCGATGACTTATAATGTAAAGATAGTAATCAATCACTCCACTCCAGTTATCGAAACTGAAAACGAACGCTCTTGTGTGTACTGCATCATGTGTTTACTATGAACAGATGTAATTATTACAACTTATTCGTCTGTTTAACCCATTGGCGCCGACTTACGAGCGTTACTCGTACGGCCGCTGCAGGCCCGGCGGCCGACTTACAAGAGCCGCTCGTGTCACCGCTAGGCAGCGCCATTTTTTATTTAGTTATTATTATTTTCACCCTTTTTGTTTCTCCTTACTATTATAGGCTAATGTTTATAAATATATTGCTTCTTGATTTGTTTATTTACTCATTTATTTTAGCGAATAACAAACAATTTTGTGTTGCCATGGAAACCACAATCACCAAAAATCAGCTGCGGTACGGTAAACAAACAATTTAAAAAAAATGTTATTACTTATAAAAGTTCACAACTTTTAATTTTTCTACGTAGGGAATCGATTGAACTTTATAATAGTAGTGTTATTTGGTGTCTGGATTAATCTTGGAATTTGTATATCAAGTTTACTCTCAAAATATTGTTTTTAAAATTTTTATTTTTATAATCTTTATATATATATATATTTTTTTTAGTTTAGAACTTTGACTATCTAATTACCACTTTTCTGTAGACAATTTTACTGTGAACAAAATGGTGAAAGAATTATTAATTTATTACCTAAGGTTTTCTTTCTATAGCAGTTAAAGTAAAAGTTTACAAATTCGGTAAAATTAATTGCCGCCAGAGGGTGCTGCAGGTAGCGCATTAATTCCTTCCCCAATGGGTTAAGTAAACAAAATCTTTTCATCATAAGAAATACATTGTGGGGTAAAGCCCGAGGACTTTTATTACAGGAATTGGTGAAAGGGGGCATCTACACAAAAAATACTTTATTTTGACACATCGTTTGTAAAATCCGTCCATTATTAACGGAGGAGTAGTGTTTCGTAGAAAAAGCCTTCACCTATTATATATAGGGATGCCCAATGTCATTACACATTTACTAAGAGGGAATTAGTAAAAATAAAATATGCTATCACGTACTGTCGAAATCACTTAATGTAACATGCGAGTGCAGTTGAAGGAGTATATTTAGCTTTGATGATGTTGAAGTTGAATATATTTGTTTGTTGTTTGTATGTATGTTTCTGCAAAGGCATTTCAACATTTTAATAGTACTATGAAATTAGCCAAAAAAGGGCTTAACCCAGACATCCATAATGAATGCACACTTTTGACTCCAAGTTGCTGATTACAGCACACCCACCGTCCACCTAATGTTCGGTAAAAAGTTACAAAAAACTAAAATAGGCTTTACCTTTGTCATTGCAGCTCAAATTCTTGTGGTGTAACTACGTTACGGCCGTTTCGGCATTACAATGCCATATTTTAAAACAATGTCAAAAACAATTAAAATGAAACAATTAAACAAACAATTAAACAATTAAACAAATGAACAATTAAAACAATTTAAATGTCAGGCTACAAAAACAAAAACTCGGCTGAAGTAGCGTGGTTGAAGTTTAAACACGTAACACATACAAACAATAAGATACATTTAAAATATTTACAAAAACTGAACAGGCCTGTCGTACTAACGGGTGACATGTTCCCGTTCCGAGCAAAAAACCGACTGGAAGATTTCTATGTCGAGCCCGGTGTGGTGGCGTTATCAGTTGAACTTTGTACTCCTGGCTTTCTTGTTCCTTTTCTGATTTAAAATGCTATTGAATATGAAGTGTGACTTGTACTGTAGTTTGTCGTTTAAAATTATATCGTCCAAATTATTTTCGGTGTAAGCTTTGTAAATTTCGTACTCTTCTAGGGTGTCCAGTCTATTGCCTTTCTTACTTGTGTGGAGTATTTCTAAGCCAGTGTTCAGATCGTTCTGTCGTGATTTTTGTCAACCAAGTGTTGTGCAAACGATGACTTTTGTTTGTCGGCTCTAGGAAATGGATGGTGCTCTTTGTATCTGGTTTTGAATGAACGTCCAGTCTTTCCTATGTAGTAGCTCGGGCAACTTGCACAATTAATCTTATTAACACCTGACTTTTCACCTTTATCAACTACGCCACTTGAAACATTCAATTTGTTAATTGTTTTGTTGTTAGTCCTAAAAGTCAATTGAATGTCGTGATTCTTTAGCTCTTTCGTGAGCGTGTGTTGAATGGAATGAGTGTGTTCCACACATACATACTTTTTCTTTCCCTTTTGTGGATTATTATCTCCAGGCCTTTTGTTTTTCTTTTTAGCTATCAATCATGTTTTTTTATAATCATGTTACTTTTATAACCATTAGCTATAGCTATATGTTTAATTATATTAAGTTCCTTATTATAATTGTTGTCTGACAACGGTACATTTAACAACCTATACACCATACTGTTGTAAGCGGCAAACTTTTGTGATGGCGGATGATAAGACGTGTTGTGGATGGTTTGATCGGAAGTGGTTGGTTTGCAATATATACTGAAGTCTAAACTATTGTCTAATTTTTCTATAGTCAAATCCAAAAAATTTATTTTGTTTGCTTCCTCCGTTTCCATTGTGAATTTTAAGTTTGACGTGATGCTGTTGAGGTATTTAAGAGATCAAGTTGTCTGACATTTCCTATAAAAACAAGAAAGGTGCCATCAACGTAGCGGTGATACTGTAATATTTTTTGTCTTTGTTTGTTTTGGTCTGAGGGTATGAATTCATTTTCTATGTAGTTTAAATAAATATCAGCAAGTATACAGGGTAGGGGGGAACCCATTGCTAGGCCATCGGACTGTGAGTAATATGTATTGTCAAATTTAAAATAATTCTGTTTGTGAGTACTTCTTTTAAAAGTGCTAAAAATTCATTGATTGCTTCTGGTAACATGTTTGAGCTGGTAGTCAGGTGATTATTAACTCATTCTAAAGTTTTTTCAACCGGTACATTGGTATATAAATTGACAATGTCAAATGACACCAACAAATCATGCATCCTTACATTTAAATCTTTTGTTTTACCAATAAAATCGTAAGTATTGCTTAAACTGAAATTATTCTAGAAATCAAAGTCATGATTGATAGATTGATAGCTAAAAAGAAAAACAAAAGGCCTGGAGATAATAATCCACAAAAGGGAAAGAAAAAGTATGTATGTGTGGAATACTGCCATTCCATTCAACACACGCTCACAAAAGAGCTGAAGAAACACAGCATTCAATTGACTTTTAGGACTAACAACAAAACAATTAACAAATGAATGTTTCAAGTGGCGTAGTTGATTTGATAAAGGTGAAAAGTCAGGTGTTTATAAGATTAATTGTGCAAGTTGCCCGAGCTACTACATAGGAAAGACTGGACGTTCATTCAAAACCAGATACAAAGAGCACCATCCATTTCCTAGAGCCGACAAACAAAAGTCATCGTTTGCACAACACTTGGTTGACAAAAATCACGACATGAACGATCTGAACACTGGCTTAGAAATACTCCACACAAGTAAGAAAGGCAATAGACTGGACACCCTAGAAGAGTACGAAATTTACAAAGCTTACACCGAAAATAATTTGGACGATATAATTTTAAACGACAAACTACAGTACAAGTCACACTTCATAATCAATAGCATTTTAAATCAGAAAAGGAACAAGAAGCCAGGAGTACAAAGTTCAACTGATAACGCCACCACACCGGGCTCGACATAGAAATCTTCCAGTCGGTTTTTGCTCGGAACGGGAACATGTCACCCGTTAGTACGACAGGCCTGTTCGGTTTTTGGTAAATATTTTAAATGTATCTTATTGTTCGTATGTGTTACGTGTTTAAACTTCAACGACGCTAATTCAGCCGAGTTTTTGTTTTTGTAGCCTGACGATGGCATTGTAATGCCGAAACAGCCGTAACGTAGTTACACCACAAGAATTTGAGCTGCAGTGATGAAGGTAAAGCCTATTTTAGTTATTATACAGCTCAGGGGCTAAAATGGGTGTTGGGCTTGATGGGGAGGGGGGATGGTGTAGAAGTTGAAAAAATTGCACATTTTTGGTTTTTATTGGATAACTCATGTGAACTATGCATTTTAGTACAAAATATGTCATAAATAAAAATAATCTAGACAAGATTCTAAACGAAGGTCCTCTTCATTATCTTGTTAAAGTGAGTGCCTACAGAGTTACAGAAGCTTAAAAATTGAAATTTTCCGCCCATCTTTAACACTATAAAAGTCCTGAAGGTAGCTAAATATTTAAAAAAAAAATAATAAAGATACTACAGCTACAAAACTTGAAACAAAGTCACGGGATACAAAAATAATGTGAATTCATTTTTTAGTGATACAAATTATACGATACCTTAGACTAAGGACATTAAACTCCTCATCCCATTGTAAATTTTGAAGCCTGTTTTTTGTGTCTAGTTCGTGTACGTCCACACTGATCGCTGGGGTAGACAAAATTTGGTTTCTTTTATTTTAGAGTTATTTTCATGATTTGGGCTTTACTATTTGGTTATATAACTAGGAGACCAGTTATTGTTTATGATTATACTAGCTACCTGGGGGCTTTGCCCCGTTTAACTTCATAAGTATTCACATGGCTCAATCACGTCCTGGTTGAAGTTCGTTCGCTACGCTCACTCACCTTTTGGTTGGAAATTAGCTGTTGTCATAAATAAAAAAAAATAATAGTGCTGCACCCTGTTGGTAATCCTTGTAACTTGATGCTATTGAATGGACATCATAGAACAGAACCAACTTGTTTAATTGAAACAGCTATTAAGATTCATAAATTCCTTTTAAATATGAAAAATCATAAGGTTAACATGGGGAACTACAGAGCCACTGGGGCGGAGCCCGAAAGGATTTTTGACATAAGAATATGCTTTAATGTTAATCAGGAATGTGAGCTATCATCATGCCAAATTTCAGCCCAATCCGTCCAGTAGTTTATGCGTGATTGAGCAACGCACACACAAACACGCACACAAGCTCACAAACTTTCAGATTTATAATATTAGTAAGATTGTTTTATTTGGTTAAATGAGTTAAATGATTATTTGGTTTTAAATGACTGAAATAACAAGAAACAAATTGTAAACAAAACTGACCTCTACAGTTGGACGTACAGAACTAACAATAAAATTGGCTTCAGCTGTTCCATAAGGATGAAAAATCTACTAAAGGAGTATGTTTTATCTATGACGATACCTTCTCAAGGTATCTCCCTAGGTAGGCCCGTTAGGAGTCAGAAGAAAATCTTTAAGGAAAGCATAGGTTGATATGTGTAAATCCCAAATTAAAGGTCTTTGTTAGTAAAATACAATGCTGCAAACCCGAACTCAAATGGGCAACTGAGTAAAAAAAAAATGGCAGCCATTCAAATTCAAATATTTCTTGAATTTGTAATTTTGGACACAGTTTTAAACAGCCACAGAAAACAGTCTTACCAGCCAGGACTTTTTACTCGCTGAAGTCGAGTCCAGCCGAACCTCAAACTCAAACTGGCCCGGGTAATGTTCTCTGGAGGGGATGGTGCCTGTGGGGGACAGAGACGGGGACATTTGTGGGACAGCGGTGACAGGAGTATTGGTACCATCTTGTATCTGCATCACCGGCAAGTGCACATCACCGTACTGAAACACAATCCATCCACACTAATACTGAGCAAAAGTTAAATATGTTATATATAAAAACACATTTTTACGACAGTTGATTGTTTTTGTTCAATTAAAGTCTCCAACAAAAACTAAGATTAAAGTTTAGGGTAAATAACCCTTGAAAAAAAAACACCTCTGAACCAGATAGAGCAAAAGACTATGACATTTTCAGTAGTAATAATTTTTACTGAAAATTGCTTAGATAAATATTAACCTTTTTTTACTAGTATAAATTTTTTTAGCTTTCTATAATCCTTTTACAGTAAACCCGATTGAGTAACAACTTTTTTTATGGACACGGAATTATCTGTAAAATTCTGCAGACTAAGCAAATTTTTCCATATGGAAGTAGCTATTATGGTAGGTGGAACAGTAAGTCGAGGAAAACTTGTGCTTGTATTTAAGTAATTGTAGTAAGATAATTAGATAAGTTATGCTACCTTTGGTCCTTACTTCTGTATGAATGAATGACAATATGGACGTTTTGTTGTTGTTCATGTGGTGTTTTTTAGAACGTCTCCTATAGTTTTGAAAGCTTGTGCATTCGGATTTACTTCTGGATTTACTTAGTAAATTTGTAAGCTCTCTCATTATGGTTAAGCCACAACCCATTTTTGTGTAGCTTCGTGTCTCATTCTGTCTGCTTTTTCAGTGTCATAAATATAAACTTGGGAATATTGGCTATACAGTCATCTAGATTTTGATTTATTTCCAGCCTATAATGAACTTGGCCGTTAACAATAAAAACATAAGGTCCGCCAAGGTTTTGTTTAATCCTACTACTTGACCTTAGCCAAGGCATTATTATAGTTTCTACTAAAGGTTTTGAAAACTCTCCAGTGTTACCAGTTAACATTTCTTGCATGTATTAATTTGATCTGACATCAGGCAAGTTTACTTTACCACCGTGACAACACAATATCTATATTCTTCTTGTATTTTTTCACTTCCAAAGCAAGTTGCATAGCAGAACTGGCAAATATTAGGTATTCATCTCTCAAAGCAAGTGTGTATCTGTATTCCTTACTGTTAGAAAGGCCTCTCTTCTTCTACACTTCTCAAACACAAAAAAAAACTCTTAAGAGGCTTTCTGTTCTTCCAAGAAAACTGTTTACATTGGTCAATAACCTCCTGAATATTAGAAACATCAATATTTACTCCCAAAAAAGCTGCTGAGTTAAGCAGGAAACCCACTGTGTCCGACACGACACCTTCCGTCAAGTCTCCGACACCTTCCGGCAAAATTACTTTGCATGACTTTAAATGGACTGTAACCCAATAGTCAGACACGACACCTTCCGATCCGACACGTCATGACAACATTGCTCTCTGGGGCATTCTTGTCGGATGTCGGATCCGACATTTCTCAACTCTGCGTGCACCAGGCCTAGATTTAATCACTGTCTAGCTTTGTGTGGGATCACAATATGTGGAACAGATGGAACATGTGATCACAAGTGTGTGATGTTTTTGTACAATTATTAGCTACGGAGAAAATTCAAAAAATTGTTATTTTAAAATTCCCATGTTATTCTTATGGAGGATATTGTAAAATATTATCAAGGGTCGTTTGACGCAAAAGGTAACTTAAACCATTTTATATTAAAATGTTGTAGTTTTCATTTCTGATGGATATATTTTGATAAAACTTGGTAAATTTATTTATTTTATACTAAGTTGTTAATATTTTACTAAAAACCACACTTTTTACCCTCCCTGTAACAGCAAGCCTAGGTACTCATAAAACCTAATGTTAATTAAATACATTTAATTGAAAATCAATTCAGGTAAATAGAAATTCGCTTAGTCGGCAGGTTTGCTGCGGCGGGAGTATTATTGTTTATGTTTTGTATTGTACTTTTTGCTAATTTCCCTGTAGTAAAATAATTGTAAGCGGAATTACTAGGTACGTTTTTTAAGTAAGGGCCGTTTTTAAATTTCTTCGTTCCAGCACTGCGATTGGCATTTTGGACATTTGCGCTGTATTTGTGCATCAAGTGGCAAGCCCTAGCCGGAAATTCGAGAAAAATCGGCCCCGGTTTCGAGCATTCAAAATGGTGCCGCCAATTGAGACTGCCGCCGACTGTGAAGTGAGCGCTGTAATTAGATTTTTAAGAGCTAAAGGTGTGAAAGCTATTGAATATCATCGACAGATTAGTGAAGTGTATGGCGAGAACATTATGAGTGACGGAATGGTACGCAAGTAGGTAAGGACATTTTAAGACGGCCCCACCAACGTTCATGATGAGCAACGCACTGGTTGTCATCATGGGTACGGGGACAGTAATGACGCCGCCCAGTGCGTTACTCATCATGAACGTTCGTGGTACCGTATTTCAATTCCCATATCCACTTGCATACAATTATGACACTCATGATGTTACCGCCATACACTTCACTAATCTGTCGATGATTTTTAATGGCTTTCACACCTTAAGCTCTTAAAAATCTAATTACAGCGCGCACTTCACAGTCGGCGGCAGTCTCAATTGGCGGCACCATTTTGAATGCTTGAAACCGGATGTAAACACGGCCGATTTTTCTCGAATTTCCGGCTATGTCGTACCAATAGATGCACATACACGGCGCAAATGTCGAAAATGCCAATCGCAGTGCTGGAACGAAGAAATTTAAAAACGGCCCTTACTTAAAAAACGTACCTAGTATCAAGGTGGGTCTAGGAAGGTCCTTGACCATTGTAATCTCTCATACTAACAGAGATCGTCATAAATGTTATGGACTTTTTTTATTATTTGCTCTTGTATTCCTAACTACTGCTTGTGAACAGTATATGATCACATGTTCCATCGCAACTGGCACTGTTGGAGTGGTGGTGTATTTCTCGTCGGAGGCCTACTGTCGGAGCCCGTCGGACCAATGGGTTAATGCCTTAAAATTGCGGAAGGCGTCGGAAGGTGTCGGAGACTTGACGGAAGGTGTCGTGTCGGAGAGCGTCGGACTAGTGGGTTTTCTGCTTTACATTTTACAAATAGCTGACTAAAAAAAAAAAATGTCTATGTAATTGTTATGGGTAAAATTGACTTTTGAGAGCACCTTGCACCATAAGGGTAAGAATTTATGGGAATGTTGCATGACGTCCAAGTGCCACGACATCCAATGATATTGTTCAGTGCCACGACGTCCAAAACATAATTTTTGAGTTGTTTCACGACATCCAATAAAAAATATTTGACTGTTGCACGATGTCCAAGTGCCACGACATCCAAAAGTACAGTAACTTCAAAACATATAGTCTTTCTACAAGATTTGGACGTCATGCAATAACGCACTTTATACTTTTGAAAAACTTAGCATTAGCACCACGTGCAAAGCTCTGCTAAGCCAGTTGCACGACGTCCAATAACTCAACGCTGTTGCATGACGTCCAAAGCTCCTACATACGGAGCATGATTAGATTAGGTTAAGTTAGGTTAGGTTAGGTTAGTATCCAATAAAGACGGTAAAACAGTACTCAAAGTGTGCATGCGCTTTGGACGTCGTGCAACAGGCATAGCAAGGGCTTTGGACGTCGTGCAACTGCTACTTTTTTCAAAGAATATAAAGTGTGCTGTTACACGACGACCAATCCCATGACGTTCAATGCTTTTATAAAGACTATACTTTTTGTAGTTACTGTACGTTTGGACGTCATGGCACGTGCACATCGTCCAACAGTCAAATATTTTATATTGGACATCGTGACACTGAATAATATTATTGGACGTTGTGGCACTTGGACGTCGTGCAATGCAACCGAATTTATAAACTCTAAAACCTTATTGCAAAACTACAAATTGGGAAGAATTTTTTGTCACTTCAAACAATGAAATTGGTCAACAAATAAGGGAGTAGTGTAAAAAAAATATTATATATATAGGTGTGAGAAAGGATAGGATAAGCAGGCTTACCTTAAGAAATGTAGGCATCCCACTTCATTCACTACAGAACACAGAAGGAAACACAAACAAAATAAACACTGGATATTTCGAGGCCACTGGCCCCTTTCTCAAAATGGAGAGTCACATTATATATTTGGAGTCTTTCACTGGTAAGGAAGCAGTGTTGCCAACACACTATGAATTTACAAATTAATATTTACAGGTTAAATGAGCCATTGATTGTTATTTACACTTAGTCTAAGCCTGCTTGTTAGGTGTGGAAGGGGAAAAGCAAAATGTTAGGACTACCTATCTGAGATTGAGGTTTGGGGGCTCCCTGGATTTTGTGAACAATTGATAAGAAAGTTCCCATCTCCTTAGTTGTGATGGGTTACAGGTGGGAGGGAAAGATCTTATTATTTTTTAATTGAAACAACTGTTTAAATCTTGCATATTGTGGCTGGCAGCATGAATAGGCACTGGTTTATCTGGATGGTTGTTTTTTATGTCTGTCCTATGATTGTTAATTCTTGTTCTAAAACTGGTGGTGGTAAGTCCAATATTTTGAGATGGGCAATGGTTGCATTGAAGTTGATATAAAACATTTTCATGGAGCATGTATTGTGTCCTTTAATTTTGAAGGTTTCTCCTGTTGATGTGCTTGTAAATGTAGTGCGCAAAAATGTAAATGTAGTCGCTGCCTTCTGGGAGGCAGAACTCAAAAGGACGCTAATCGTAATCATGTCAAATTTGGACAGTAAGTCAATTAAAGTATTTTCTTTTAAATTACCAGTATGTAGTTATTTTTGGTCTCCTGTAAAAGAAATCGCTCTAAAATAAGTGGCCTCCGGATAATACCAAAGTACCGAAATTTATGGTTTTGACCATCACTAATTATTTAACTAATTATTCGTATTGTTTAAAGACTGAATATTGACTGTTCATTGTTAATACAACTTTGATCATCGTGTGGATTCAAATAACATTTGTGTTTTAAACCGAAAGATCTCTTCAAATAACTTTTGTGCATTTAGGCAATGAAATTCCATGACCAAAACCAAACTAGTCTTTTACTGCTATGCAACACCTAATAAGTGAAATAATAATAATTATTATTACCGGTATTATTATTTTATGGCCAGCATTGGACCAGTTAAGTCAATATTAAGTTAAAATTAAGTTAAATAATTACTGTATAAACATTAGCAACAACTATGTCTAAACTATGTTTAGTTTAAAGCCTTTGGTTTTAATCTACATTATCAACAATAGTGGCTAAAAACAACATAATACAATACTAAATTACAAAAAGGAAAACTTCATACCAAAGGGCAGTGCATTCCACCGAACCTGTCAACAAACATGGTTGAAGACAACACCCTATATCAATAGCATTTTAAAAATAAAACACAAAAAACTATGACACTATGATTTAATTTTTGAAACGGAAGCATACTCAGGTGCTACTTGACAGCATTATTGACACCATTGGCTTACGTGGTCAACCCATGGTCGCCAACACTGCAGCACCTCGACGAGATCAACTTGAGTATTTTTTTTTTTTTAATATGGGATAACATTTTGAATTTAGCCTAATTACAATCATCAATTAGTTTTATCGTACATTGTAAAATTTTAAATCGTGCAAATTTTTACCCCCGGATTTTTAACCCCGGAATTTTATTCCCTGGCCAGATCTATAAATTAGTGGGGATTGTTAATTCTCTTCATTCAGTTTTTATTTTATAGTAAACATTTTATTGTTAAATAGCCTATCATAATTTATTTGTAACATCAACTCTAATGGAACAGGTTTTTAATTTTAATTTTGAGATTCGAGTATCATGATTCGATCAACTGTTGGTTAATATGATCAAAATTAAACAGCGAATTCTGTTTACTTAGTTGAGATTACAAGATAAATAAATAAAGATAGGCTACTTAATAATAAAATGTTTACAATGAAAAACAAATTGAAATAAGAAAATCAATCATTCTTAATAATTTCTATATCCGGCCAGGGGTAAAATTCCGGGGGTAAAAATCCAGTGGTCTAAACGCTAGTTATATATGGACAGGGGATAAAATTCCAGTTTTTATTGCTAAACTAATTAATCACGCTCTGTCTATTATCATTAGACTTTCAAACCCGCGGGGGTAAAATTCTGCTCACGAACAACTTTTGAGCACTAAGGTTACGTCATAGTGACGTTAGCTTTGCACAGGGGGTAAAATTCCAGGGGGATAAAATTCAGGCGACCCAACATTTCCATGGTTTTTAAGCAAAGGCATGTTATTCTCTTTTTTTTTGTCATGTTTTACTCAGAAATTGAAAAAAAAAAACTTTGCAAACCTTTCATGATCCAATAGCTTTATAAATCTAAGTGGTTGAGAAACAACTGAAGATGGGTTTCTTACATGTTCTAATGGAGGTGGTTGAGGTATTAGATGAGAATTTTGTGCCACGGGTCTCATAGCTGTGTTGATCATTGGGTTTTCATAAGTTGCATTCTAAACAGAATATTAACTAGTTTAGAATCAGAATCAATAAAAAAGTTGTCATACAAATTAACATAATCATTAGATAAGGAAACTTGATTTTCTATGAACAGTAGAACCTATAGTTTGACGCTCGATAGTCGGACACTCCCTAAGTTCGACACATGCTTTCATGATGTGACATGTCGACAGCAGCCAATGACGGGTTCACCGAGGTAAGAAACTAAAGCCTTCTTAATGTTTTCATGCACGTAAAACTCAATAATTTAACTGAAAGTACAACAAATATGTCAAATAACACTTGTAATATTATATTTACACTTATACTGTATACTTACAAGACGGTAACTACATAAAAAAGATGGTAAGTAGTGATCGATAACATACGTAAAGAATTAATTGAACTTTTTAATAGTAGTGTTATTTGGTGTCTGGATTAATCTTGGAATTTGTAAATCAAGTTTACTTTCAAAAAATTGTTTTTTAAAATTTTATTTATATAATTTTTGTTTCTTTCTATAGCAATTAGAGTAAAAGTTTACAAATTCGGTAAAGTTAATTGCCGTCAGAGGGTGCTGCTGGCAGCGCAATAATTCCTTTCCCAATGGGTTAAACATATTATATTAAATTATTAAATATTATAATTTATTTATTTCATTCATGTGGCAAACGCCAAACCCAATGGGTGTCACACAAAACAATACATTCAATCATAGGTTTGATAGGTTTGTGTAAAAAACCTGCTTTCGTTACATTTTATCACCTGCGAAAATGCATCATTACATTGTTTACTACGGCAAAAGAATGTTTTCTATGCGAAAGTAATGTTAACTATCTTTTTTAGATTTTGCCGAAGTAAACAAACAATGATTTATTATTGTTTTGATAACTGTTTCAATTTTCAACAACCAAAACTGTACAACGGAAGTAAATATTAACTTTAAACTTGTCATGTGATGTTCCTATTTGTAATGAAGAAATATCCAATGTCTGTTCTAATTAAGAAAATAATTAGTTTTTGTAGTGTAGTGAAAAGTAAAGTTCAAAACACATGTGAAAGTGGGTCTATGTATTCTCGATTGTTTAAAGTGCTTGATAAATCTCTCACTCCAAACATGGTCTCTCTCAAATATGTAATGACTAACTTTCTACTCTTGTTATGAAATATACTATTAAAATATTGATATTAAAATGACAAAGATGCAACAAAAAATTAGAATATAATAAAAACTTATGCATAAATAACAATAATAATAAATAAATACAGTAGGTAGTACAGTAGTCATTAAACAATCTGTAATCCATAAAACATGTTTAACTTTCCTCTTCATATTCTACTACCAGGAATGTTTCAAATATTGTGTCACCAGTTCTCAAGTTGTTTTGTCAGTTGTGAATAGTAACTTCTTGAGGTTGGACAGATTAAAAACATTTCAAAAATAATTTAAAGGCTGAAAAATACCAAATTATTTTTATTTTGTCCTGTTATACCTTTACTCAGTTTGAATAGTTACGTTTAGCCAACTTACTTGATGATCAATACGAAACGGTGATCCAAAACCTCCAAAACTATCTGGTTTCCTAAAACAGAATAACACACTGATTTGGGAGTTATGTTTTAAACATTTAATATTATGCTAAAACATAAAATTAAATTAGATTAAAGGAAGGGCTTCCATTAATGATTATATTAACAAATGGACAATTTAACAGGTTCAATGCGGGTGACGAGTAATCTCATCACTGCTGGTGCTGCCAAGCGTGTTGACGAGTATACTCGTCAAAGCACCACTACAAAATTATTGCCTCGATATGAGCTGAGCCATTGTCGGAGGATGTTGTTTTTTGTTGCGCTGTACTGCTGTACATAGTAGTTTTTTGTGTTTCCTCGGGCGACGTCGTTCCCGTTGCGCTCAGTTTTTGTTATTTCAGGGTTGCCACCAAAGTGAGATAAAAAAATTCATGCATAATTCAAGGTTTTCATTGGTAGTTTTGAAAAATTCATGGGGTATATGCTCGCACAATTTCACCATAAAAGAGTGTTGCCTAGTTCAGAATTGTACATTAATTTATCGACAATATATATGTAATTTTTCAAAACTAGGTACCAATTGGCATGTTGGCAATTGACATGTTCAATCAATCAGACAACTTTTATTTGATGTGTGCTACTATCAAATAAAACACATTTCATGTGTTTATTTTAGAGTTAAAAATAAGAGTTTAATATAATTTATCCAGTCTAAAAAAGTAAAATCACAGAAGAAAAAGGATTAATAAAAATCTTGTGTGTGATAATAAAATGTAATTATTAAAAAAAAAATTGAAACATCTGATTTAACAACATCATAGGCCTAATGATAAATTCAAACGTTAGAAGAAATAATAAATAAAAAAATAAGTCGGATTGGTAGTTAGGTCTAGGCCTAACCTAAAAAACATTGCATCCAAACATAAAAGGTTTAACTTAGTTAATCCAGCAATGGCCTAGAACTTCACTGTCTAAACATCAAATTAAGATAATAGGCTACTATAAAAACAAATGTTAAGAACATGATCAAGAAACGGTTAACTTGGTAATGAATGGGCCATATCTAGGCCTACTAAAACGCACATGCAATTTATTACTTTATACTGTAACACAGTAGGCTAGCCTACATTGTAATCCAAAACTGAATCTTGGCTAAGTTAGGCCTGAACCAACTTTTATTTATTGAGAAGATTAAAGGTTACCGACTGACTGATAAAAACACTCTAAAAAGGTAAGATTATGTAAATAAATATTTAGTTAAAGCTAAGAACGAAACAAAAGTAATGGAATGTATGTAAGTTTAGACATAGGCTAACTTACATTAAGTAATAAAAAAATAATTAATTACATTACAGAAAAGGTTAAAATAAACTTAGTTAGGAGGATGTTTCTTCAGATTGGATCAGTTTATATATTATTATTTGCCTACACAGGTTTAAATCACAGTTAAAACAATTATTTAATTAAATTCACATCTCATTAAAAACTTAGTTAGATTCGTATTGACTGAAAACACCTAGTTATATGCTTCAACAAAACATTTACATTTACCTTCCTCAGAACGAAATCACCATTTTTCAGCACAACATTGACTTCTTGCAACTTAGGCCTAAATAAATAAACTTAATCTCACGTTGTAACACATTTACTCAACACTGACAGTAGTTTGAAATGACGACATATTTGACCAAAACAAACACAGAAGACGATTAAGTTCCAGCCGGCGCAAGCCATTTTGACCTTTATGGCAAGGCAAGGTACTTCTTATTTTAACGTTGTAAAGTATCGGAAGTATAATATATCAGTAATAAAAAATATTTAATGTGAACACTTGTTCCACTGAGTGTTGGGTAATCAATTATAAGAAGCACAAAACTGAATCACGAGTGCAACAAGTGATCTTACTGTCCAGTGTCCACCACCGGTCCACCACTACTTCAAACTTCAAACGTTTGACTCGTTTCTAAGTTTCAGATCAGTTTAAAACTTTTAGGTTATGGTTACTCTGTATTTCCTTCCACACAAACACTAGAGTAGAGTAGAGAGTAGAGAATGAGCAACGAGAGCGAGCATCAATTCCGATTGTCGATGTTTTCGAAACATCGATGTCTTTTCTATCGATGGTCGAAGTTATTTGTTTACATCGATGGTAGATTACCGAACCGATGATTTGGTTTGTTACATCGGTCTTTTAGGCCAACAAAAGTAATGAAATATGAAATATTGATGTTTTCCGTAACTGAATTGTATTGGTTTTAGGTTAATTGGCTGTTACAGTGCAGAGAACAGACAACAGACGAGAAACTCGGAACAAACATCGATGTGATCGATGTTTTAGCTCCGAAAGCATCGATTTTATCGGTAGATCGGTACTCGCACAGACAATAACTCGGTGATAGAGATGGGCGTTATAACATAACAGGAATAACAGGATGAATAACAGTGTTGCGGCCACGGCAACGTTATCGCGGCAACACGTTGCAGAGAACTCCCTGTTATTATAATAACGTATCTATCTACACAATGTTGCAGGAAAGCCGCGCGACAACGAAAACGAAAACATGCATTGCCATTAGTGCCGTTGCCGCAACGCTACCAGAGCAAGAGCAACGATAACTTCTGAAACGAACTAGAATAACGCATCCTGTCTGGACAACGCGGCAACGCCCGACTCCCGAGTCCCGACTACAACTGAAAACTGAACTGATCAACCGACAATGATAACTGAACGCCGCAACAGCAACACCGACCGGCGGACAACGGTTTATAGCGGCAACGAGTTGGCAATCGTTATTGAAATAACAGGTTGCCGCAATACGTTATTGGGCAGCTGCGTTATATCGTTATAACCGTTGCCGGAAAACAACGATATTTCCCATCTTTAGACTACTCGGCTGACGTCGGTTGCGATCGGATTTGACCTTGAACTACGCAATCGTTTCTGTTCGTGCCATGGCAACAAAACTTTTTATCTCGACACTCCCACTTTGACGTTTTATCTCGGTGTTCATTTCGAGAATGGTTTTAATACGGAGTATTTGATTCAGCACATTTAGGGGTTTTGGCTGAATTGTTAATAATGATTTTGAGAATTCATGGTCCAATGACGAAATTCACGCATAATTCACGCACTTTTTCATGGTCACCTAAATTCACGCATAATTCACGCTTTTCAAGGTTTTCATGGCTGGTGGCAACCATCGACATATAAAACTAACTGGATTGCGCGCAGGCCGTAAGGCTCGTGTAGAGCTTTCCGAGCCAATACAGGTGTGTATCGGGGTTGCCGCATGGGCAAATTGAAGGCAGCATGTGGGATATAGCGCGCGAAACCGTGTTGTCGACACCTGACCTTGGGCGCACGTGTGTGTTACAATAACCTCCCTACATATTACATATTAACGTACAAGTTTTCTCAAGACCACCTGGAATTGTTATTTTCCTGTATAAGATCTCGAGGAGGAAATAACAATAATCCAAATGTGAAACAGTTCCAGTGGGCTTTGAGAAAACTTATGTTTCGCAATGTAGGTTTACCCCATCTAGCCTACTAACTTACAATCATTTCTTTAATCATCAAATAGGCTGAATTCAAAATAAGACAATACTAGCTTTTACTTTCAAAAATTCTTTTAAACTAACAAAATATAACGATAGAAATATATCTATATATCAATAGTGTCCAGCCATCTGATAAAGGCAATTGCTTATCATTTGACTTCAATCGACAAAGTTCTGTAATGAGCTTCAACGAATTATCCCAAGTAGTTGGACATAGTGATGAAGCCGATGATGCTGATGATATAGAATGTTGTCATACATGTTAGAAGGCATAGAAGAGTCGTCTTACTATAAAGACAATGTACTATATTATATTTGTGGTTATGTTATTCGAAAGTTGGATCCTAAACTAAAATGTGAAGAATGCAGTAATATTTTGGTAACTGGCGATTCAAATCCAAGCCCTTGCACTCATTTTACTGATTTTCTATCAAAAGGAAAATTAATCAGGGCTTCGCCAGATGTACTGAAAATTGTTAAGTTCATGTACAATCAAATTGTTGCATATTCCAAGGATTGGCAAAAAATTTGATGCTTCAAAAACTATTTTATTAGCATGTAGAACCTTTGCTGGTAACGTTTTTCTCAATCATAAAGGTAATAATGAATTTGGCGAGGAAAGCCATGACATGAAATTAACTAGGGTGGTCTGCCGTTACACTTTAGACGCATAAATGAGCGAAGCATTATTTAAAGATTGTCAATGGCTAAAGCAGCTAACAACCTACAATATGTTCCATTTCAACAGATTCGCCGTTTGTTTGCCCGATATTATTTCAATTCTAAAGAATGACAAATTTATCTGATAGTTTATACTGCACCTTTGTAGTGAAACTGGCCATCCTGACCATTTGCTTGTACTTTGTAAATGGGCATAGCAGGATGTACTCGTGCAATCAACATTTGTTCTACAATCGTCAGGTCAGTTAATTCGTTCGGGACACTTGACACATCCATATTATTTAACACCGTGAATTTAGTTGCATTTGAACGACAACGCGAACAAATCGGTGATTGGTTTGAAGCTGTAAGTTGTTGGCGATGACAGTTAGTGCAAGTGTAATATTTTTGTGCATCTAATTCATGTTGGAATTGATTAGCTAACTGCCTATCATTATCAGCTTCTTCCGCCACTGCTTCATCTGGTTCTTCTTGTTCACGACGCCACTCTCTTACAATATTTGCATTATCGGTGCGACGACCAATATTACAACGTGGCCTTTGAGGCATGCTCAAAACAAATATAGCAAAACTGTTACTTCCATTGATAAACTGTTACATTCCAACTTTAACCTATGATGAAAGTAAACATTGAAATGTAAACAAAACAGTTACAAACAATTATCATATGTTCATCTTATTTAAATGAAACGAGATAAACCCATATGTCATAAACCCAATATAATTTTTCTTTCAACTTACATTAAAATAACAAGCGAAATTGCGTGACCCGTAAAATATAATCCAGAAGGAAATTTGCAAATATTTTTTACCAAAACATTGTGCTCAGTATTCTTTAGCTGTTGGCCAAATTTCATATCAATTGGTCAAGCCATTACATTCTGATGCCCTTACAAAGAAGTTACAAAGTGAGGGAAAGTGAGCTTCGCTCAATCAAACTAATTGGTATTATGTTTAACAAAATTATATGCCACAGCATTTCTAAGCGTAAAACAGCAGAAGCTTCTCTGTCAAAGCTTGGTATGCGGCAGAAGTTAAATAAGCTTATTCTTTTTAGCAATGTTTAGGCTAAATATGTTTCTTTGTTTTACAAAGTTTCCTAAATAAAATGTTTCTTATACAATCTAACCTTGTTCTTACTAATACCTTACCCCAGAATATTTTGTATTTTACGAGAAACTGATAAAACCCATTTTTTTTACATTGACTATTTTGTATTGTAACATTGAAACATAATTGGTTTCGTTAGAGTAGTAAGTGAAGAAAGAACCAAGTCATAAAGGTTTCTTAATTGTACTATTTTATTACTTTTATTCCATCATTTAAAAAAATAAAATCGGAATTAAAATTATTTTTGATCAGAAACCTCAGTGTGAAATATCCGCCGTCAGTTAATATTTATTAATTGTGGTACCCAAACTCGGTTACTCACAGCGTTATTTTTACACTTTTATTACTTGTACAAAAGTTCATGAAAATTGATTATTAAAATGCCTTACAACGTTTTAGTAGAGAGTAAAGGGCATGGATAAAGTGCATCGTCCTGGCCACGACAATGCTAAGATGTGGCGCAGCGAGACGCTCAATCCCACATGACGCCTGCAAAATCTAAAACGCAACCCCGGTCGTTGGCTCGGGTCGCGGAGCCTAGCAGCCGATCCAGTTAGTTTTATATGTCGATGGTGGCAACCCTGTATTTGTGTGTATGTTTTTGTGTGTTACATGACGTAAGTGTTGTGCAATAGTGAATGAATATAGAATATGGCTAATTCATCACTAATTGATGACTTTCTCACTGAAGATAAACTAGGAGATACGGATAACAACCGCAAACTAAAGAATACTTTTGTCACGTGGGTTGGTTCTACATGGCAGCTGGACACTGCGGCTCATGACGAGTATTCCCGTCACAAATAATGACGTCATACATTTAGTCAAAAATTGAAAATTTTGACAAAATAACACTAGATCATCATCCAAGACAACATTTGATAGGTTAATTTGAGTTTTCATATTTTAGCCATACGAGTGTTAGGCCTATAGCCAATTTCGGTACCGCATTGAACGTGTGAAACATTTTATGACTCATTATTATTTTATTGTCAGTACCTTTTCTGCTCCTGGCACTGAGGACAAAGTTTGGTTGCCTACCTGGTTCATTACAATAGTATCAAAACCCTGCCGCAGCAATCCTGCAGACTAAGCGAATTCCTATTTGCCTAGTTGGATTATCTGTATTTTTAATACACTAGGCATATTTTTGTCATAATTGTTTTGGAGCAGTGGTGCTACCGATCACCATGTCCAAAGTTTTGTTACAAAGGTCTTATCATGTAGTTTTGTCATCAAACAAAAAAAAACTTTGAAATTCCATCAGGGCCCTGTCCCAGTGGCCTTAAAAGTTCTCATGTTGTTCTTAGAGAGAAATCTTATATATTAAAACGTGACAGGGTTTTTTTTTATTTCACGATTCTGAATCAACCACTTAACGGATTTTCATAATTTTTGTGTTGAAAGAAAGATAATTTTGAGTACTAGGGAATGTCAAAGCCATAATTTTAGTTTAGGGTTTCAGTTTTTTAGAAATTAAAGTTTAAAATTGATTAAAGTCTAGCAGCCGACGCTAACATTCTACTCTAGCTTTTGATATAATACCATTTGCTTAACGTACCAGCTGTAAATATTCAGCGTTTTTGACACAAATTCAGCATTTGGATGAAAATGATATGACCAATTTGAAACAGATAAGTCCGTGCCAATACAGATGCAAGCGGAGAAGACAAATCCTTAAATGCGTTTGTTGGTAGGTATTATATACTCTTAGTAGTAACAACAACTATTGATCAAGATAACAGTGGAAAATAAAGTTTCATAGATTCATTGACAAATGATTTTGAGCTGCCGACCAGACGACACGAATCGGTGTTAGTGACGTTTGACGTTGACTGACAAGAGTTTTACTACTCTAAACATAGCCAAAACAAGTGACTCAAAAATCATTAAAAAATAACAAAAGTCTGAAAATTTGTTACTTGATACTTAACTATTGATGTTTTAGACTGATAAATTTGGCATTTTTAACTAACTACACACTTAATGTATACCTTGTAGTTTGTAGACGTCTGATTCTATCCTCTCATTTTATTAATGTAAACCTTAAAATCATCTTACAAATGTTTTTATTTGTTTAAACCAAAACATATCTTTATTTGTAAAATCAATTATAAAATAGGTAACATGCTTAACAATATTATTCTGCAAGTAAAAATCATGAAACAGGCAAGTGAAGCAGCTCACTGACATTTCCAGCAATATAAGTTCTTCTAATATTATGATTGAAAATAAATATTTTTTCACCTAAAATGAATATATTATGTCATGTATGGATACGTTAGGCCTAATACCACATCAACAAAAATTTGCATTACACAAATGTGGTATATTCTAATATCAACTATACTTACAAATCCTCCATTATTGATTCATAATCACTATTTGTAAGTAGAGGAGTGTCATTATAATTGTGATCCATTCTGAAACAAATATAATAAACTTAGGTTAATCAATTAGTTCTCTACCCTCTACCCATTGGGTTAAGTATTAATTAATGACACTACTTTCTAACAACAAGTTGGCTTTGTTGTAGTAACAAAAACAGGATCTGGAGGTTTTCTTACGGTACGTATAATTTTTACAGCATGTAAAAGCTACTAAAAATCAAAGAATACCGGATACATGTTATATTATAGGCTAACAAGCAATCACAATCTCTTTAGGGCTGGATGAGAAAATACATAAGGAAATAAATGGTATCAGCAATCTGACATACTTACTTTCCCCCAAACCATAATGTTTACAGCAATGGGGGTTGTACCATTTTGTTTAGAGCTAAAAGGACTAGGCCTATAAAAAATACACTGGGTGTCCACAAAGTCTTGGCCTGATTTAATAGCTTTGCTGTACGAAAACCATTTTTTTTTTTTTTCTTACGCCAGTGGCATTTTTGTTATGATGTCAAACACTTTTTGGGAAAGCGGTACAAACCCATTAAAGTTTTGTGGATGTGCCGGGGATTGAACCTGTCCCTCCCGCACCAAAGTCCGAGACGCTAACCACTAGGCTAGCAACACTTTTGAGCCACACTTAACTTGTGTGCCTTGTTTTGAAGAGAATTTAATACAGTTTTATCTAATGATGTTAGTAACACCTAAACACAGTTGATTGACAACAATAAAGTTGTGATTCAATACAATAACAAATCAGAAATGGTGAGTTTACAAGAGAAATCACAGTGTTTTTTGTGGTTTCACGAAACCCAATCCCCTATATCAGTTCGAGGAGCGAGTTTAATTGGGAAGGCCAACAGTCACAATTGTAGAATTTGGGGGGGGGGGGGGGTGTCAAACCCTAGGATCATGATTTAAAAAGAACCCCACCTCATTGGGCTAAATGTGTCAGGGATTTTTTAACTCCAGTTCCACGGACGCTGGATCAGGCGTGATGGCCCGACGAAATGGCCACATCGTTCCCCCGATGTAACCCCCATGGATATTCTTTTGTGGAGATTTCTCAAGGACGCTGTCTATTCTTCCCCAGTTCCTAATTTACAAACACTGAAGGATATAATCAGAAATGCTGTGGCGTCTGTAACCCAGGATATGCTGACTAAAACCTGGGACGAACTAAAAAGACGTCTAGTAGATCCGCTGGCCACTGGTGGTGCACACGTAGAGGTTTGTTAAGTTTGTACATAGCTATAAAATCTTAAGAAGTTGCCTGTTATATCTTTGTAAATAGATCCTACTATCACTCGTTTTCATACTATGCGGTTTACTTATCAGGCCAAGACTTTGTGGACAACCTGTATTTTGTATTTTAGGCCTATATTTAACATGAGGAATGTTTTAATTTCAAAATCAGTTTTTTTTTTATTATTTGTGGAGCTACTGATACAATCGCTCCTGACCTCATGAAGACGGCACATACTCACAACTGCAGATGCACTCACACACTGACAGGCGTCGTGCCCAGACGGGTCGCCGGAATTTTATCCCCCTGGGCAAAGCTGACGTCACTATGACGTAGTAACCTGAGTGGCCAAAAGTTTGTTCGCGGCCGGAATTTTACCCCCGCGGATTTGGAAGTCTAATGAAAATAGTCAGAGCGTGATTAATTAGATTAGCGATAAAAACCGGAATTTTACCCCCTGTCCATATAACTAGCGTTTAGACAACTGAAGATGTATGGGCCGGATTTTTACCCCCGGATTTTTACCCTTGCAGATTTTAGAAATTGAATGATTGATTTTCTTATTTCTGTTTTGAATTAATTGTAAACGTTTCATTATTTAGTAGCCTATATTTATTTATTTTTTTTGTAATCTCAACTAAGTAAACAGAATTCGCTGTTTTATTTTGATCATATTAACCAACAGTTGGCTTCAAAGATCGAATCCTTATACTTGAATCTCAAAATTAAAATTAAAAACCTGTTTGATTAGTTAATGTTACAAATAAATTAAAATAGGCTACTTAATAATAAAATGTTTGCTATTAAATTAAAACTGAATGAAGATAATTAATCATTCTCACTAATTTATATATCTGGCCAGGGGGTAAAATTCGGGGGGTAAAAATCTGGGGGTGAAAATCCAGGGGGTAAAATTCCGGGGGTAAAAATCCGGGCCGTACATTCTAGGTTTTTATAATTTGATGTGTTCTGATTAAATTCACAACCGTGAAAATATATGTTTAATTCCGCATTTAATCCATCAAGCTTATGTCGCGAAACTCAAAAGTTCGCGGCCGGAATTTTACCCCCTGGTTTGTGATGTCACGTTTGCCCAGGGGGTAAAATTCCAGGGGGATAAAAATCCGCTACCCCGCCCAGACACACACTACCACTACTCCTCATAGTGGACATTTAAATTGTTTCTTTGACAGTACCACCCAAATGTTATCCTTAAATCTTTGGTTTTTGTAGATGGGTAAGTCATATAGATTAAAGCTGGATTTGCAAACACTGCTTCTATCAATTTTACATCTTTGGTCAGAAAAAAAAAACTTAACAATATTCTTTCATAGAAGCTTCAAAGCACCGACACAATTGGTACTGCAACAGTCGCTTGCCATCAGCGATCCCGTCTTCCCCCGGAGTAGTGCCCCTCCTCGTGCTTCTTGGACAACGAGCCCATTAAAAATAATGCTTAACAGTCACTAAGCTTCCATCACCCGCACCTATTTCTCAGCGACGGACAAAACAGACACGTCATTTACCATTTTTGATTTTGTGTCAAAGGTTTACTTTTTTTTGTTGCTTTAGCATGTGTTGTTTAGCATTTTTTTAGCTGAATCTATTGATTCACTAACAACAAAGCATAGGCCTAAATGTAACCAATCATAAAAAGATTAAAGGCACTGAGCACATTAGCCCCCGCTAAAAGGAGCTAATGTAAACACTCCTAATAACTCTGTTACAGTATTTGCAACACTATTTGTCTGTGGGGGCTAATGTGAACAAGCCTAGGGTTTAATCTAGGACTACTAGTTGCAATAAGTCTCAATAGTTTATCTTAAACAGTTTTAGAGATATGAATGTGTATATTTGGGATAGCCGCGGACCGCCCTACAGTAACCCTTTAAAAATAAAACAATTTCCCTATAAATACTATACACGGCTAATAATTAGATAAAAACATATTTGTCAACATACCTGAATATTTCATAACATTTCCATTCTCATACAAATTGTTTAAAGCACTTAGCCTAAAAAACAATAATTTAAGACAATGTAAATTGTACGTTTAGGCAAATGACATGTTTTTTTCACTTTTAATAAGACTTAGGCCTATCAAATTTTAAAATTTGGACCTATATATAGGCTACAACACTAAAACTGTTGTCTTTGTAAAATTAAAATTGTTTTAATCACAGTGGGCTTAACTATATACAAAGAAATTTATTGAGGAACTTACGCCTCAAAAACTTCAAAAATGTTGTCAAAGACATACTTGCGGAAATCAATTGTTTTGTATTCTTTAACAAATTGTAGCCTTTTGCACCTAGGTCGCCTATAAGAGGCCTATTTTCTCTGGTGCTGCTTTCTTCCGCTATAGGTCAACGTTTTTAACCTATCTTAACCAAATGTGGCCTACTGTATTTAATTGTTCATAATAGCCCATGCCACTGTTCATAATAGCCCCCGTTCACTATTCACATTCAGTTAGCCCCCCAACTTTGAGTGCATAGGCTATAACTGTGGATGTTTTAAAATATTTTTGAGCGGAGCGAGCGAAGCTCTTTGGGATCAACTTCAACGCAACAAATAGAGAAACATCACTCAATAACGGCTGAACGCATTTCAGCCAAACTTAACAAAATTACTTAGACTAATAGTGAGATGGTTTTTAAACAAAGAAATTTCAATTAGATAATGCTAATGCAATTTAAAACGAACTTAAAATTTCCAATATTTAACATTAGGCTTATGGCATTAAAGTAGCAATGACAGTTTTTTGTTTACAATAAAAATGTAAACAAGAGAATCATAAGGTATTTCTGAACTTTCTAGACTTTTCTTTTAAACGTTTTTAAACCATTCCTATGATTTTAATAAACAAGAAAATGCCTTTAAAATATTTTTTTAGGCGCGAAATTCACTGAAAATTGAGAAAATATACGGAACTACTTTCTCAATGCGCGGAGCATAAACAAGGAGCGGAGGGATACGGACCGGTGACTACTTTCTTGGGAACCTATTTGCGTTGCCAGCTGATTAGAAACAGCCAATGATAGAAATCAGGATTTAATAAGCGATATATCGAACCGCATCGAAATCGATATTTAATCCGATAATACCTCACAGGTTATATTATGTTGAATTACATCGACGGTGCAGTAAGTTATTACACTTATTAATAAAACGCAGATTGAACACTGATCTAATTTAGGCATGTGGGAAAGGTAGATCGAGGTTTATGAGTATTCGTGACTCGTGACTACATTAAGTGTTTTGAAGTAAGGTTAGATTAGGAAGGTAAAGTGTAGGTTATAGATAGGTGATCGGGTTGTTTATTTGTGTTGCACCATATAATTTTTATCTTTTAGAATAGTTGGTTAAACGGGGAAACGATTTTAAAAATGCTTGCATATGGTCTTAACAAGCCATCTAAAGTATTCTAGCATTGACTTTATATAAAGTCAATGATTCTAGCAAAATACTACCTACATAAAAACCAAACGAAAAGAACATTTGGATTTGGACCTTTAACCATAGCAAAACTAACATATAATTTATGAAATGTGAAAAGTAGTATATAATTAAATACTATTCTGTAATATTAATAATTTTTCGGCAAATCCTCATTTTAATGGCTCGGCTGAAAATGGAATCTGCATTTTGTGAAACAGTAATTTGGTAACAATTCAGTAATTTCAAACGTTGATAACAGTAGCCTTTCCTATATAAATACTGTTATTTGATTGTCAAGCCACGGACTATACATACGTCCAGTTACAACCGTAATATATTACAA